GCCCGGGAAATTATAGCAAGAAACCCCACAAATATAATAATTGGCTATATATAGGATAATAAAAGTCAAAGTAAATGGTCATCAATTGACAATGTGTACTTTCTCACCCCAAAAGGTATGGTTTAGCGTCCATAAATTACTGTCCAACCATACTCTGTATACTTTTTAAGGATTGGATTAACAGGCTTGGTGAAAAAACCCTACCTATTTGTCGTCTCTGATCTAAAATAACCCATAATTTATTCTATTAATATTTATAATGTTTGACTATTAGTATTATCTCTATTGATCCTGTTTGTGGAAACCCGACTTTGTGATTACGATTTTATAAAAATAAGTTATATTGAGAAAGTTTTACTCATGCCATGTTGATCATCAATGAAAGTGTTATTATCACATTTATTGTGAACATTATTCCTCTAATGGCCATAAATATATTCAAGTATTTGAATTCATTCATTCAATAAAGCTCACCGTAACACACATTTCTATTTTATTCTTCCTTTGTTAAGGTCCTTAACGCTTTCTTCATTTCCCAAATCATATGAAATAGGTCAAACAGGCATTTTCAACCATTGATAAAATCATAATTCTTTTTTTTAGACATAATCGGATTTCACTAAATTCATGACTTGCTTAAATTCAGCGTCTGAGTGAAACAATTGAAACAATTCAACTAATCCTTAGATTTGATACAGACATGTTAAGTTAAAATTTGTCCATACTTGGTATTTGTTTTCAAGGAATTCAATGAAAGCTGGGCTTCATCAATTCTCAGATTTGAATCAATAAGGTTATATTCTAAATGATACATAAATTTAATTTCTTTTCTTGGATAAATTGATAATGCATTTTTGAGCAGTTTCAAATGTTTTTCTGTTTAATTTTAAACAATTTTTCAGATTTTTTAAGAAAGTTATATTTCGATATTTTGCTTAGAATTAAACTTGTTATGATAACTGCATACATTCATATCACAAAACTTTGCGTCTTTCATCCTGTGTGAAACGTACTGTCATCAGATTGTTGACATTGGCACAATTTAACATACTTACTTCCTTATGACGTCGAGTTCGGGTTGAGATGTTGTAATTGGTTGACGTTTATACTCCTAAAAAATCCTGGAAGAATGTCATTTGTTTTGTTTTTCAATGTTTAGGTGCAGAATCTTTGTAGAAAGATGTGAATAGTGCAGCTGGATGATCCACAGAGATTAACTGGCGTTGTTAAAATCGTGTCCCATAATTGATGACCCGCGCACTCTGTGGACATCTTTACCTGACAGTATTAGAAAATGTAATTACAAGTCTAATGCTGTTAGGTAAGATGACATCAGAATTCGCTCTCACGTGTTCCTTTTAGTCTCCTGATTGGACTCGGCCAGCTTGGTGCGATACAGTGAACAGTGAATAGAAGAATGCTGAATAAAGCCACGAACGTGCAAATTTCAATTAAGCTTTTGTTACAAAAGAAGTGCAAAATAAAATCACGGAAAAACTGTTATTCCTAAACTAGAATTGAGTTATAACAATATTACAGGTGTATCTAATCCCAGAAATGTCTTAAATTAATCAGTTAAAAACTGAGTTTCAATAGTTCTAATAACTAATATAAAATGTCCTAAATCCTTAAAACTATTGATAATGTGTACATAGAGCATCAGATATCTACATCCAGTAATAACCACTATTGCCAACAGGTAAGATCAAAGCCTAATTTTAACTTTCTGAATGCCTTCTATTACTAGCCCCCTATATCAATTGACTACTCAGCTACTCATTGACCAACATTACACACAGTTACCATACCCAGTGAGTCAAACATAGCTTGTGTAATTCCCTCCGTAAATCCCACCATCAACAAGACGTTAGGAGTTTTATCTCGACACGGTATTTAAACAACCTAACAAACAAATACCAACGAAAAACCATGGCATCACACTCCAGAAATGAAACATTTGCCTTTACTAAAATAAAACCCAACCTCGATCACTCAAAGGGAACAAGCGAATGAACCTCTCCTACGTATTTACCGAGTGAGTGTTGAAAGCGTTAGACATGATAATGACTGAGCAAATACTCCCAAGAGGCAAATACACATTCAATTGATCACTGCTAGATAGACAGCCTTTTCAAATATCCTCATATATTCACATCTTGTATTATATTACCATCAGAGCAAAGGAAATATCTCTATTTTCAACAACTTACACGTAGCATCATCAAATAAACAATTATATACCTCTCTAAATCTTTCCACAAAAAAAACTCTTGCCTATATCAAACCATTTCAACTCAGAATTCAATATGGCTTCCCTGTTACAGATATTACATACCTCAACAACTTTTAAAAATTAAAAAATCAGAATAATCAGAATAGTTAACATCTGACAAGTCCTTGTAAATCAGTAAATAAAAACAATAGTTCTCAAATCCAGAGAATATTTCACAAAGATGTATAATTGTTCAGTTTTAGTCTCCCCCTCTCTCCCTCTCCACTTCAAAATGGTGTATGGTGTCTCCTCCTCGTATGTACAGGCCATCGTTCTCCTTGGACATCCCTTAGCTAGTGATAATTCACTTAGGACCTTTTCATCTTCCATCTAAAACAACTGTTCACAGTTGGGTGAACGGGTAATGAATGACCAAGGCTTGGTCTCCCTCAAGCAGCTGGAAGGTATTCATCACTCATAATGAACAAACACAATCAGCACAGAGGTATCAAGAGAACATCCAAATATAAAATCCACCACCCTTTTCTACGAACATTCAACCGTGACTGTACATGAAAAGTACACCAGCCAATGACATCTGTCTGATCTTCGTACATGTTTAGCATCAGTGACAGTGACAAGGTAGACAACCGGCCTACTACACCAATAGCCAACCATGTGATCAGAGAGAGAGAGAAAAAAATCCATAAATATTGTGGTTGTTGTGTAGACTGTCATTGATAACAAAACTATATGACTGTCAGTCGTAAGACCGTCTAACACACTGACTGGTATAACTGACATGAAATCTGTGTCGACGAGACAGACACACGAATGAATGGTTACAGTAAGCACACTCAGCTACCTTGATAAATACCAAACCAACTAACGAGCTATGTCCTAATTCTAACTATATACCTGATTGAAACTGACATGTGAGCAAGCAGTGAAACCGGCCTACGCATACAATACTTAAAATCCAACGAGCCAACAGTTTCACTTCTCTGTTCACCAATCCTGTGTCAACCGCACCCAGAGATGAGAGAGAACACAATTGATAGGATGCAAACAGAATCCAACGAGGACATAGGTGACCTTTGAACCACACCTATTCATTAGTTTCTTTGCTTGTACTGTTGATTTTGAAGCTCGGTAAAAACCAGTTCGACAGGCACCTCTTCATTAAAATGGAAAGAGTAGCTGAAAAGGTCGCATAACTCGGCGGTCAGGCCGATACAGTAGAAAAGACGGCTTGCAAGACTATCTCTCTTCGTCAATATTTGCTTCTGCCTAATCTGTCCTATTCGAACAGGTATGCGTTGAACATTATTCCTTCAGGGCTTTTGGTGAAACTCAAGGTGTCATTCAAATGTGATCGGTGAAGCACGCAACTTCAGTTGGCGTACAAAAGTACTGTACATCAACCTTTTCATATCATCCCCTTTTATGGGACAAACCACCCCCATTCACTGGCGTTCAATCGTATAAAAATGGTCACAGATGATGGCTAACGCAATAAAAAGTATTTATTGTCAGTGTTACTAAGAAACGTTGATAAACTATGCCAATATCTAAGTATATATTTATAAATGGCGATGATTCAAGTAACCATAGCAACTATATATCAATGTGACCAGACACAATGGTAGCGCATCAGTTCGCACACATTGTCATCAACAAATCAATCAGCTTATTAACCAGGGATGGCAAGTAATAGCGCCTATTGGTTATCGTTTTTCTATAAACCATGATACATGGAGCTGTTTTATTAGCTTAACAAAATTTAATTTCCTGCATGTCTTGGGCTCTGTTTCTTGTCATTTCCATCAAAAGATGTACTTTCATAGAGAAGCCTGTCAAATACTTAATTGAAATTTTGTGTTTTCAAAATACAGCATTTTTTGTTAGATATCTGTGTTTCAAAGAATTATAGAAAATATACATTTCTGGATAATTTTTTACACTAACATGAAAATCATCAAAAGATTTATTTTCTTACTTGCCTGCAGTAGGAAATGGTGCTGTCAAAAGCAAATTTAATCAATTAACAATTAACTCATTTTTTTTAGTGTAAAGACTATCAGTTTAAGTACCGGTACTTCATATAAATTATTTAAATTCATGAAAAATGATAATGCTACATGTATTTATGATACAGGGGGAAAATCTGATGTTACACTAAATAAGTAATTTTTCAGTCAGTTAATTTACTTTTTAAAAAAATTAATGAATTCCATCAATGCCATAGTGTATATTGACAGTTGAACTATGATCACTTATCATCAATCAAATAACTAAGCTTGAAAATATGCCATGCATCATAAAATTTTCATCACTTTAATAAATTACTAATACTATTTAATGTGTAGGCCTAGTTATATATAAAAGTAGCCTGAGAGTTTCTGGCTGCATGTAAGTTTATTCCACGAAAAACCTGTAAATCCATGGAACTTATAATTTAAACAGAAACACTACAGTAGGTTACAAAACTCAAATAATTAGGTGCACGTAAATTCAACTGCACATAACTGGGAATAACAGTTCCATCTCTATAAAACACTAGGCCTATATATTATGTGCAGCCTATTCTTTCCTAAGACTAATTACTTAAATTACACAACCCATTAATAAATTATAATCAAATTTTCACTCACAAACTGTCGGTTGGTCGAAGATATTTAAATTAAAATAAAGAATTTTAAGTTTTGTTGTCAAATAAATATTGATATTGACTATTTAAAACTTAGATGTCGAATTGAAAAAAAAAAAGTCAGGTAAATTATCCTACCTGTCTCGCTTTCCTGAATTTCTTAAATGCTTCTTGCAAACTTATATTCTTACATTTCTTTTCAGTGTCAACGTCAATCTTAAACGAACTAATGTTCTTATCTTCCAATTCATTTTTCTTTATTTCATTTGACTGTTGGACTAATTGAGTCTTAGAATCTCTAAAATGTGGGGAATCTGAACGTGCGATGTCGGCCATGTCAGACGTTCTTTACATCAGGCCACATTTAAAACTAAATAAAACGCTTGACTTGCTTTTCAGGGATTTAAGCTTTCGTCATATTTTACTTGTCTCTTACATAATATTAGCCTTAATGTTTTTACACATGCAAATACAGACGTATTTTAATGTCTAATTGCCATATAAACTATATGACTAACATTTGTTTTCATCTCCAGCGCCTTGGAAATAACAAAACACTTCCCTACGTCGTACAAGAACTCTGTCCTTATTGGTTGTTTGACAGATGACGATCCAATCAATATTCTTGATAATGAAGCTTCGCTGATCTTTTGACCTTTTCACCATTGACCTTTTTAAAAACTCATATTATCTGAATCAGAGTTCAGATGTGCTGTTACTGTTAATTTTAGTGCAATATAGGTTTACAGACACCACACAATTAATTAAAAACCAATGATATTAAATTTCCAAAAATTGCACCAGAAGTCATAAATCTACTTTCGAATTTAAGAAACCAATTTAACCACTGAGAGAAGGCAATTAAATGCTACCAAATAGCTCATATAAATCTCATTCAAGCGGAATCATACTGATTAATGTTAACAAAGCTCAATCCACCAATAGCCAATGACATTATCTATATTTTACCTTTACCGTTACAGGTATGCCATTTTGCCAACAGCACACTATTGATATAAGGGAGATAACTCGTAACACCCTAGTATAATATTACATAAAGAAGGTTGAATATTGACTAATTCATCTCAATCATGCGATTAAGGCGTGACATGGTTTAATGATATCAAGAATGAGAGAGATAAAATAAATTATTTGAATTAAAGGTAGGCCCTACAAAATGAATTCAAGTTTCTCACCGTTTTCTAGACTTTGGCCTATATGGGCCTATTTATTATAACCTAAGTTGTAAAAAAACAAAAATGGCTTGATATTCATTTATAAAACACGCCACGCCTTAAAAATAATAACAAAGCGATAGATGCATGTAATCTAGCTGTGATTAAAATAATGCATGCTTTTAGTACGACAAAAGAAAATGATAACAAAAATGTTAATGAATTTGCATTATCATCATTGAAAATAAATGTATATTTTTATCGCCATGGAAAATATATCAGAAGAACGATATAAATATACATTTATTTGCATAAAATAACAATACAAATCCAAGTTTCACTAGCGTATCATTTTCTTATGTTGTTATATAGATTGGTGCTGTATATTGTATATCATTTCTTGCACACACAATTTTTCTCATGCGTCTCATTTTTTAAAAAAAAAACATGCACCCCTCCCACCCTAAAAAAACAAAACCAAAAAAAACCCAAAGATTCTAACCACAACCCGTAATACATGTAGTTGAAATGAGGTAAATGAAAATAGGATACGAATACAAATACCTACCTTGGGAGAGGAGAAAGCTTAAATATCATACATATTACTACACTAATTATTTTGTATATTTAAGTTTAATTTTCAAATTTTTTAAATAAAATTTTTAAGTGTTTTATGTATATTTTGATTTTAGAATACAAACTATTAGATCTTAGTTTCAATTAGACTTGGTCGTTTATTGGCCACGTGTCCTCAAATGTCATTAAACCGATGCCATTTATCACGAACCAATCAATTCCACAGAAAGCAGGAACTCACTCGAGGGGGGTATTTTTATTCTTGGATTTCATTGGTCAATCGGTGGATAGCCGTTATCTGATTAGATGCGCCTTCTGTTAATTCCGCCCACTGCCACGTCGGGTTTTTATCTTGCCGCCAATCTGCAATGAAAGTAAAAATCCATTATAGATTCGCTTGATCTTCATAATATCTAAATTTATCGGCCATTGACCTAAATTTCATTTCATACGATCAGGTTTTCTAAATCTAATCTGTTTATTAATTTATTATTCAACAGATCTTTTATCGCTAATTACGGTAATTTTAGAAATATTTGTTAAAAATTATAACAAAAAAAACCCGTGTTTTTATTTTTTTTAACATATTTACTACTGACAAATGAGCGGTGCCAATAATGAGTGGAAATTTTACAGAAAATGTTAAATCTATAACAGGTCACCAAAACTTCAAAGCCCTTTTCGAAAATTATTTTTAGATAACAGTAGGGCCTATATATTTAAACGGACAAGTATATGTTTATACAGTAGCCCTACGTCGAAAGGCAATATTTCTGTAAACCAGATATTACCGTTTTTGTTTTTTAAATATAAAGATTATTTTTTATTCCCGTATCTACCTAAATATATCACGGAATATTTCCGAAAATGGATGCTGGATCACGTTAAATGATAAGTCCAGCTCAATTTTTCGTCATAGGTCACGAGATGTAAACAGGGCTAGCGCTAATCCCAACCCTAACTCTCGACCTAGCCCCAATGTACCCTAACCCTAACATACAATCTCGCCAACAATCACTTGCCCTAACCTTATTTACATCTCAGTAACCTTCATAAATAGATTCAGCCTGTTGGTTTACGGTCAGACAATTACTATTAAAAATTGGTCCGATTTCAGATTTATGAAAAGTATTGTCATATGAAATTTTGGGTTCGTGTATAGGCGTATAGATGCCTAATACAACTTCGATGATATATCTCAAATATTCTTCATAATACACAGTTTCTCGATTAAAGTTTTAAACGTTTCGTTTCAACAAATTTCTAAAGAATCCTGTTTTTTTACTCAGTGGTTGTAATAAAGATTATTACCCGAATCAAAAAAATAAAGTGCCTCGCCCATTTTCAGTCTGAATGCTGTCAAAATATCCCATCCCACTCACTCTTCCGAATCTTTTGATTTCAATATGATAAAATAACATTTTAAAGAAACGAAATTAAAATTTGGGTGGAGAATATTTAATTTGGAAAAAGAATAATGTCTGTTGAATTGGTATATTTAGGTGTTTTCCACGAACCCAAGCGACTATAATAAAAACCCATGTCTGACTATAATATAACAGTTTGTAAATCATATCCCCCTTTTCTTAATCGTTACACCTGGTTAAGCAAAGGTGGGCTATGTTTTATTGTATATTACGTATGGTTTACATAATTTTGACACCCAAAATAAGCGGTTGTAGAAAAGTAGGGCGGTGAAATTCATTTCATTAACCACCCAAAAGATATGCAATTTTAGAAACCGTTGATTAATTGAGGAAAATTCATTCAGTTGTGAACATTTCTATGTATAGAGTTGCTGATCGCCATTTGGGTGATTTTAAATCCATTATTATGTAAGTCGGATCTCATTAACAGAACACAATTTTTATGGGAAACAATCACTGGTTTTATTCTAAAAGCACAACGTTTCGACAAGTATCCGCTTATCGTTATCAAGCACAATGACATTTAGTAAACTTGAGTTTGATATATAAGAGTTCATGATGAAGCCATTTGTTACACACTCTTATATATTTATCTTCAAGTTTAATATAAATCTCAAGCCAAAAAAGGGTTCATTTCAGTTCAGTAGGCCTATTATTTATACAACGGTATGTTGCATTGAAAATATCGCGACATTCGGCAACCACAACGCCCCCTGTAATTGTTGCATAAATTTTCGATGGGCCTTGATTTAGTCAAATTTAATCCACGTCGGTGGAGGGGGGGGGCGGGGATTTTGTACAGTTGATATTCCGGTTTTGTTTTCTCAAATAGGAAGTCGGTCTAAGCTGTCAAAAATGGTCGATGACAGCATGTAGCGTATTATACAACGCGATAAAACTGTCTAAAATGCCGTCGTATACGAATTAACTAGGTTAACCACCCGACGTGGCACATAGTTACGAGTCTTGTCAGTAGTCTTGAATTTGAGTTAAGAATTTGCCATGTAAAAAAATGTTTTTCTCAAGGTAATGAGCCACTCTAGAAATGTCTGGTGTATTTTTGAAATGTTTTCTCATTATATCCATAAGAACAGAACACGCGTTAAAGGAGGCAAGTCTGTAACTCAATATCACCCACAGTCTTCGACATTGTAAACACGACTTATTGGTCAATTTAAATCAACATTGATTTTGTTATCTTACCGTGAAAAGATGGGCTTCTGATATCCAATATTTTAGACACAATGAACATTTTAAAATTGGCACACGAATCGCGTGCAGAATGCTTTCGAGCGCCATTTGTAATGGAGCGACTCGATAAACGAGGCTAAATATATCCCACAGGAGAATACTATTGGTGTAGACTGGAATAACCAGACGCCAAAGACTGCCATTTAATTTGGACTATTCGCTGTCTAGTCGTTCGGATGTGACGAAAAACCGAGGTCCCGTGTATACATTAGCGTGCAAGTAAAAGATCCCTTGGCAGCCGGAATTCGATATAAGAGTAGGCCGTAGTGCCGTTGTCCGGGCAAATTTCCCTCACAGCACACTGTATGGCGTATGCCCGTCTTCATTAGCCCAGTATAGGAGCAGAACAGTAGGACGTTAAACCCCATTTCATTTCATTTCAAGAGTAGTAAGATTCAACAAGTTTGCACATGATTCTAATATTGTATGTTTTAATTCATTGCAAACGCTGGACGTGGTTGGTTTCTATAAATTAATAACGATAATATTGCTACTTTAACAAAGACTGAACGCGGTTGGTTTTTATAAATTAATGAAAATATTTCTACACCCTTGCTTATTGTATGGTGCGTTATAAAAGTTTCTAAAGAAAACAACTTGAAATGTTATAAATTTAATAAAATACAGATAATTAAAAACACTCCTTATGACAGCCCAAGACCCCATTAATATCGTTAAAGTAGTAATATTATTAATAATTTATTTTAAAAAAAACAATCACGAGTTGTCTTTTCATGAAGTTAGACATATTATATTATACCTTTGGATACTCTAATTCTTAAATTGGTTGGTCACCAAAAAACGCTTGTTTACAGTAAGCAGGCACGTAACTAGGAGGGGAGGGGAGTGTAGGGGGGGGGCGCACCCCTGCAAACAGTTTTGCCCCCCCCCCCCGTGAAAAAATTGACGACCATAAAAAAAAATAGATATACATTGGAGATATACATTTCGGGACTAATATACGGTTCAATTTTATTTTAATCATTTGCTTCTGCGTAGGGGTCTTTAGCAGTAGGAGGAAACCGGAGGACCCGGAGAAAGCGCACCTGGTTGGACAGGCGACCTCACAACTTGTCACGTATAAACCGGGGAATCGAAACCACGCAAGTTGACTCAATGACAGACTTTATAATACAACGCGCAC